GTCACTCAAGAATATGGCTGAGGTCGCGATGGCCAAATTGCACATTGCCGCCCTGATGGCTGAGTATTTACGCAAAAGAGGTAAGCCACTGTGGTTTTTTGTTGTAACAGTAAGAAACTAGGAAACATTCGTAGCCTTTTTGCACGATGTGAACACCGGAAGCCTGCTGTAACAGTAACAAACCGTTGTGTCCATCACTTGTTGTAACGGAAATGCACATGGTGAAATGTGTGTCACCACATGTCGTAATGGCTTGCTGTTGCTGCATGCTAGTCACCAACTGTTCCGCGGTGATAGCCTTGGAGAGTTCTCCGCCCCCGATTATTGTAATGGCCGACGAACACCGTCTGTGTCGCCAATGTTGTAACGGTGACGTGTCATGTGGTGTCACCGTCTTAATATGCCCTATTTGAATACCGAATGAAGAACACAACAAGAAGGGCATACAAGTGGAAGCCACCCGGATGAGGGTTTCTTTGTCTTCAAAACCCGGAATTGCTGTCTCAGGTGCCAGCTATGTCGCTAGCGGGCTGAATGTGGCCGCGGGGCAAAGCCCGGGTCTGAGGTGAACTGACTGTCTTTGTCACTCCGTGTTACAACTCTCTGTATGAGATGTGGCAGGTGCTTTTAAGTGCTTGTCAAGGTAGTTCAAGTATTGCATGATTTGGGCGTGGATTACTCGAGGGGTGTCGACGTCACTTACTTCGTGGCTCGCCTAAGTGCCTCTTGAGGAACTGCGACTAGTTGGGCACGCGCGTGGGCTTGCGTGTGTGTGCGAGTGAATGTCCCTACCTACGGTTCAAGATCATCGCGTGGGTACAGTCACAGCGAAGACAGTCACAAGACCTTGAGAGGCAGTCCGCATTGACAAAGGAATCATTTTTGCAGTCGGCCACAGGCGCCACTCGTTGGGACAGCCTGCAATATTATATAGGCATTTGCTTAGCCTGGGTTCCTGACAGTTTTAGTAAACATACTGGGACTTTTTTGTACTTTATCTCATTACTTTATATGCTCAGTAACCATGTCGATAGGATTGTTGTCTCAACAACGCTAGTCGGGCCTATCGCCAATTTACGACTAGATCATGAATGCTTCCGACTTATTTGTGCCCTTTTCAGTCGTTAGAGTCTCAAACCAATGCCTACGAATGAGCAGGAACCTATTCGTCTACACGTACCTCGTGTATGATCCAATAACTCATTAGGTCATCCGGTCACAAGCGACATGCATCACCGTGAGCTTGATTTACGATGAAATTGACATTTTTTTTGATAAACGGTTTCCCTCAGAAATTGGTGTTTATTTGTTAGAGCGTTCGACTCCTAACCCTTTCAGAGCGCGAGTTCAAGCGTACAGTTGGTATGGCTGGTTGATGGGGGGCTAATAAGTCAAAAATTGCGATTTCAGTTTTTGTGGGAGGACACCTACTGCCTACGTGGGGTTGCAATGTCTCGGTGGATAGTTATCCTAACCTACCTTTTCACCCTCGCCCCTTA